ACCGCCAATACTGTAACCTTGTCACAACTGTTAAAAGCCGAAAGCTCCCAAACACCAGACTGTGGTGTACTGTAGTGACCTTGTAACTTTCCTTTCCCCTTTACTTTCTTCTCTGATTTACGTCACTGGAATCACCTATGCGCATCGAAATCTGCTGCTTCGAGCCCGCTTCCCCCTTAGGGAGAGATTGTACTTTTCTTACTCCTGTGTACCTCTCACGCTTGTCTCCTCCATTATGGGTTGCACTGTCCCACAATGAGAACAAACCACAGCCTCGCATAATCGATTGATGCCAGCTGCTGAAGATTTGCCTCCCCCAAGTATTTGCTGAAGACCGAAATTAACACTCTCAAACTGCAGCCTGAGGCGTGTCTTGCACAACTTCAGTGCAACCTTCGCTATCCAGACCTGTACTGCAAAGCAGAACCTACCTCCCTGCACATTTGTCTTTGGATCATCTATACAGATCAGTAAGGCTCACTCACCAGATTGTTTGCTGCCAGTTTTGACATCTATGCCTCCTCCTTTGAGTGTGCATATGGGAACGCAGTACCTTAAGCAGTATTCCTTTGTGTAAAAGCCACTCGTCCATGGCATAGACTCAGTATTGGTGTGCAATTCGGAAAATACAAATGATATTTAATTAAACACACTTTTTGAGCAGTCGGGACCATGCGCCCTGGGTTTCCTTTAGTTACTTTGCTTACGGACATTGTTGGGTTGTCTGTGTGCGTGCTTACTTTTCGAAATGTGTCCGTTTCAAAAGAATGCTTTACAGACATTTAAAATCGATATCAAATGCTGAGTAGAGTTCCCAGCCTGTCGACAGTTTCATTTGGTAAAAGGGAGAGTTGGGAACGTGGTTTGCTGACTACCTGTTGTTGGAAATAGTCTGCCATCTGCTGGATGCTTGATCTATGGCATTTTTGTCTTCCGTCTGTGAACCTACACTTAAAGGCGCAGAACTCCGTTTTTACAAGTACTGTGTAGACGTATTTAGCTGTCAGAATAGCATTTTGTTTTATTCAGTTACTAATCTACTTCGAATATTAACAGTTTCGCCTGCATATTATAATTGGCTGTGTAGCGTACTGAATTTTAACCTTATGCCTTAAACCAAATTACCAGAAGAGCATCTCTGCTAAGCAAGGCTGATGAACTGACTACAGTAAAATGCCTAGGAAAAGATCCAGCAGCAGTTTTCCCTGTGAGTTTCATTTCGCATGAAAGATGCTTTGAGAGTCACTCCAAAAAAGCAAGTTGAGAAAGAACCAGATACAGAATCTCATTACTCCAACAAGAATGAATTTCATAGGATGAGGCAGTGGAAATAGTAATGAGAAATAAACCCCGAATTTTGAAATATTCGGTGCATACAATTCTAATTATTTACCTCTCTCAGCTAATACTTGTCTCTGGTAGCCAATCACAAACCTTTCTTGGACGGCAATTGAAGTAGTACTACACCGAATTGTTTTAGTATGAAAAAAAAACTTTAAAACGACGAATGGTCCTGCAGCACCTGTTTTTAGTATGCGTCTCATGAATCAATCTAGACCCAGAAGGCTGATTACAAGAATAAGGTCAGTTGTGATAGATTTGAAAGATACTACCTGCTCTTTGCTCACTGTTCCTTGTAACCATAGGTCATGGGGGTGTTATTGCCCCCACTTTGAGATGGTTTCTATTGTATTCAAGGTTTACCGTGTGGGTTCAATGGCTCTCAGCACCTTGCTATAAAAATTATTCTAGCCCCAAAGCTTGTAACGGACCGGGCTGTTATCCTGGATATTGATCTGCAAGTGGCTCGAAAATGGAAGTTTTGGATTTGGCCAGCCACATACAGAAAGACAAAAGGGTAAAGAGAAGCGAAGATATCATCAGCCGGCTGGAAGCCTCTCTCAGCTCTTTAATGACATCAGAGCCTTTCGTAAACCCTCCATAGGTCATCCAAATTTTGCAGGAGTCGTCTGAGGGAAGATACTGAAGCTCAAGAACGAGTCAGACGCAAACATCCAGATCAGTGTGGTTTGTTTAAGGAAAGCATGATTGCTCCACTTGCGGGAAGAAATCGAAAAGCAGCCATGTTAGTTAGTGATTGTTAGCAGCAGCAAGATTACTGATGCTGCTTCAATTAAATCACATTCAGGAGTTCATTGACTCAGGAGTGGAAAAGCAAGAAAACACAGAGCAATCATTCAGGTTGACCTTGAATTTTACCCAGACTAGAATTTTAAGGCACTTTCCAGTTTAGTTGACAAATTTCCAACACAATATCTTGAAACTACTACCCAGAAGTGTATTCTGGAGTCTCCCGTGATATTTGATGAGGTGAGAAATCTTCAATTAAATAACTTACACTATAGTAGATAACTAATGTAATAAAATTACGAAACTACCTCGCTGTTGGAGGAAATCTGTGTTTTTCCTTCCCTTATTCAAAGTATGCCCTGTATTCCAAAGCACTAAAGATAACAGGAAGGTTATTTTAAAAAATATCTTATTTGGTATTCTATGATCACACTTTTTAAGGACACATTAGAATATGAAAGACTCCAGCTGAGGGTGCAGCTTGCACACACACAATTAAGGGTCGCTTCAGTGTGACCGTGCGATGCTCCCTCTTTAGTGTGCAATAAAATAAGGAAGTCAATTTCCTGAGCTAACATAGTGATAGAAATGTAGCCGTGTTAGTCTGGTGTAGCTGAAACAAAATACAGTTCTATGTAGCACTTTAAAGACTAACAAGATGGTTTATTAGATGATGAGCTTGGGCCAGACCCACTTCCTCAGATAGTATTAGAGGTGATAATTGGGGAAGCTATTAACTCACAGACATCCTTCTGTTCTGCAATGTGATTTGTCCTTTTCATATTTGTTCATTTTTTTTAATTGTATCCTTTGGTATATATGGTTGTGACTATTTTCTTCCACTATTTGATCTGAGGAAGTGGGTCTGGCCCACGAAAGCTCATCATCTAATAAACCATCTTGTTAGTCTTTAAAGTGCTACATAGTCCTGTATTTTGTTCCTGAGCTAACAGTGTGTGTTGTCTGTTCTTGTAAACCTGCAATGTGCTCATTTTCACTACAGGACCGAAGATGTGTTAGGAGAGCATGACTCAGATCTGGCGACTCTATAGGAAGCCTTTCGGAGCATGGGGGACGAAATACAGATTTTAATGCTCCACATGGCCAGGCGTGCCTTTTTAGGGATCCTGGAGTTTGAACAATCGTCATTTTAAATGGTTGTTGGATGTTCTAGTCTGTATGACGCGGCTTCCCCTTCAATTTAGAACGACAAATTAGAGCTCTAATCGGCTGGGTCTGAGATGATTTTTCTCGTTAGGCCGTCGCCTAAATGGGCCTTCTCCCTGTCTTTTTTTAAGGTGTTGCGCCACCTCTGTAGAATCAGGGAATCTCATGGGCCACACTGAACGTTCATAATTCATTCCCAGAACTAATTTAAAAGCACCTTCTCATTCAAGAATTAAACAATCCTCCGATATTAAAACAATGCAAAATATGGTTCTAAAATAGTCCCCGTCAGAATTGGTGTGTAGGCACAGACACCACTAGATCGATTTTGTAAGTAGGTCTATGACTTCCATAACTGCAAAGCACCCTTTTTGAGCAATGGCTCTCTGTTTTCATAGAACTAAGACTAGAAACCTGGGCTTTTATATATATATATATATATATATATGTATATACACCCCACCCACGGGACGTATTTGTAATAAATATAGGATGACTTATGATGTTCTTGTCTCTTTGATACAAGTATCCATCGAGAAAACAACAGTGGCTCTGGGATTTTAAAATGAGGCAATGATCACGTTTCTCGAGTCTACAAAGCTCAGCCAAAATTGTTAATTGTTTAATCAAACATTTCAGATAAGGCGATGTGGTTTGCACCTGAGGATGTGAATAGGAGCGTTCCTGAGCTGGTTTTACTGTGGTATTTCCTCCCCCGTCACTCTAGCATTTATTTTACCTATTGGCTGAGCAAAACCACTGAACACAGGGAAATCGTGAAGATGGGCAGGGATAGCAACTATTGTGGCCCTATGCAATTACAAGAGATTGTAAGAAAACCTCAGTCTGTGTCTAGGAAGAAAGGACTCAGTTTTCCATCAGTACAATCCTCGAGTTAGCAGGGATTTTATACAGAGAGTGACCAGGCTCCTTCTTAATGCGCCTTTCCTCCCGAAAATCTGGTCGCTTTGCTGGTCTCTTCGTTAAGATGCCCCCTCCCACCCAGTGGGGGCTCCTCAAGGAGGCTTGAATTATTGGGGAAATGGAAGAAAGGGGGAGCCTGATGTAATATGGAGCATTGCAAACAGTAAAATGGCTGATCCGTGTCTCATTTAGCTACCGATGCTCAGATCCGCTGCCGTTTCGCTTCCCCCAGCTCCCGATCGCCTTTGTATTGCCTGGTTGATTTGTCAGGGTACCGCTGTACTACACCAAGACAGAAGCCAGGACCGCCGCGCCACGGAGCTAGCATTGCACAGCATCTGCGGGCAGCAGGCTCTCCCAGTTACGTTTAATTGATTAATTGGAGAGCTAAATGGATCTCTATTCAACAGCTCCTAGCTGAGCGTGGAGCCTTTCATTTGCCGAGTCTGCCTGTCCAGCTGGACCAGAAGGGCTCGCATATGGTCCCAGGCTATGTGCAGCAAGCCAGGCTTATGTAATGTATGGAAAGAGCAGAAAAGGAACCATTTTAAACTTGGACCATCCGTGCGGGAGGCCGCCTTTGAGCCCCCAAGTCATCGCCAGAGGAGCTCTTTAGATGGGCGCGTTCTCCCTGAACGTGTCCCGCAGCCCCCGGGGGGCAAAGCGCTGCACACCACCCCCTCCCACCGCCCCATTCCCAGTGCGCACGCGTCCCCGCTCCCCTCCCACGCTCCCCCAAACACAGGAGAACAAGGGTCCCGGAGATCTCACGCCTCCCCCCACGGTTATTTGAATGACACGAGAGATTCATTACTCACAAGCGTTGGTGACGGCGAAGCTGTTGGCTACCTCCAGGTTGTCGATGTGGGGCGTCAGCCTAAACTCCGAAGTGGAGAACTGAACCATCCCTACCCGAAAGGCACTGTATTCCTGATCGGCACCCCTCGGAAACAACCCCCCTGCAGGGAAACAGACACGCACACAACAGAACAAGAGAACAGATCAGTGCTGCAAAGCGGGAGGCTTCAGGCATCACTCTGGGGCATGGCAGCGCTTGGGAGCCACTTATTGACGCTGTCAGGGAGACGGGCAGCATAAAGGCACGCTCGCTCTGTGGGGGGGGAGCTGCTCGAGTCAGCTGTAGCTGAGGGGCATGGCATTTTGTCAGGAGCGGCTGCTTCTGCATCACACCAGAGAGCTCCGAGTCCCTGAGCCTCTTAATAACGTGCAGAGCTTGCTAGCGCCGGCAAACCTCCATCGGATCAGCTTGCCTTTCCGTTTAAGACAAAGGGGAGCTTAGCCATCATTCCCCAAGGGAGGAGGGTGACAGAAAAATCGCACACGGACGTGTGTGTATAACGCAGAGCACCCGGGGCTTGACATGCCATGCACACTCGAACGCAAAACCAGCTGTGAATGAACGAATCAATCACCCCCATCCAAATGGAAACTCAATTAGAAAAAATAAAATCCGCCCACGCAGAGGCACCTACCTATTTGTATGCTGTTAGAAGAGACGCCCCAAATCAGTCCCCAAAACACAGGAGCCAGGAAGACAGCAATATGCATAATCTTTTGCATTTCCATGAAAAGTAGAGCATCCACACAGCCACAAAGGATCCCTTTCCCCCTCCTCTCCCTTCTTTGTCCGCGCTCGCCAGCGAATTAGATCCTCTGCAATGATGGGCGAGGGACCAGAGCACCCAAAGAAATGAAAATAAACCCGAAGCGGGAGAAGCCCTCTGCACAAGGGGCTGCTGCTCTGGTCCTTGTCCCGGCTCCAGAAGTAAGGCGGCTGCTTGAACGCTGCCGTGGTCCCAGCACATGCACTCACACTCTCTCACCCCCTCGCTCTCGCCAGCGAATTAGATCCTCTGCAATGATGGGCGAGGGACCAGAGCACCCAAAGAAATGAAAATAAACCCGAAGCGGGAGAAGCCCTCTGCACAAGGGGCTGCTGCTCTGGTCCTTGTCCCGGCTCCAGAAGTAAGGCGGCTGCTTGAACGCTGCCGTGGTCCCAGCACATGCACTCACACTCTCTCACCCCCTCGCTCTGCCCCACAGGCTGAGGAACAGGGAAGAACCTGGCGCGCGTGCGCGAGCAGCGGAGCGCGCGGGGCCGCGCACCCACCCCCACGTTCTCTCTCCCTGCCCCCGGCCCTGGAGCGCTGCTCGCCCGCCCGCCTCAGCATCTGGGCTGCTGCAGCTGCGACTGCTTCCCGCTCCTCCCCCGCC